AAAAAATAATTTAAAAAAAATCACTATGACAGCCTTGGTTGCACTTTATGCAGTTATTAATTCAGCATTTACCAAATGTGCACTAAAACTATAAAGTACCAATGTGGCCTTTATGTGAGCTTCCAAAAAGTCTGATCATTTAAGCAATTCTCTTGAAAGTTACGTTTTTGCTCATAAATGTCTTGACCATAATGTTTAATTACCTTTCTCTCTCCCACTTCATTTTTGCTTCAAGTGCCAAATCAGCGGATTCTAGATTGAGCGGTTCTGCTGATATTTACCTCATTTCTTCCCTCAGCATTCCTAGCTATTTTTGGAGAGAAATGGAACCAGTAAACTAAAACTTCCCAATGCCATTGTGTTTAAATTAAGAAATTAAAATTTGCTGAAATTTACTCACTCTTGGGCTATCCAAAATGTAATGCTGAATTTCCCCAAATCTGATTCAATGAAGAAACAAACTCATTAATATCATAAATGGCCAGAGGGTGAGTACATTTTCAGCAAAGTTTATTTTTTGGGTGAACTATTCTTTTAAGGTACCTTTTTCAAGAGTTGTCACTTGAAGATTGTAGAGTAGAGTGTTGTAGAAAATTGTAGAGGATTCACTTTTGAAAGAAATTAATACATATATTCAGCAAGGATGCATTAAATGAATCAAAAGTGACAGTAAAAATGACATTTATAATATAAAAAAGTGACATTTATAATATTAAAAAAAGGGTTTTGACTTCAAATAAATACTGTTCCTTTGAACCTTATATTCATCAAAGAAACCTGAAAAAATGTATTCACAAAAATGTTAAACAGCTGTTTTTAAAATACAGTACATAATAAGAAATCTTTCTTGATCAGCAAATTAGAATGATTTCTGAAAGATCATGTGACTGAAGACTGGAGTAATGGCAGTTAAAAATTCTGATTTGCCATCATAGGAATAAATTACATTTTAAAATATATTAAAATAAATAGAATTGTAATTGTAACATTAAAAAAAATCTTTGCCACCACAAACTTTTGAATGGTGTATATACTTTATTATTTAAATGTATATGTTTGGGTTCAGATTTGTAAAGGTAGCTCAAGCACCAATGTCCCTAATATTTCTGCACTTCTAGCAAATAAATGGTTGTTTCATTTAAATATTTGAATCAGCGTCAATATATTTTAGGTGAGTGTTTTGAGCTGTAGCGACTCTCAACTGGTAATCTAGACACTGAAATTCAATGCAAATTAACAGAGATTAACTGTTCACTGTGAGTGATTCCTGTTTGGTCTGAGAGAGAGTGCTTTCTTTTACCACGAGTGTCTAATCTTTGATTTTGTGCTTTCATTTACCTCTTGTCGCACAATGGATGTAAATTACTCCCGGGATCTTAGCATGCAATTAAACACCTCACTTTAGAGTGGGATGAGCTCTGTGATTAAAGGAGAAGCTGTGTTGAATTTCCATCCTTTTTGTTCTGGTGTATGACTTATTAAAAGTGAAGATGTTAAATGATACAGTTCACAATTTAGCAATAACAGTAAGCAAGAACTGCACTGTTCATTTAAGAAAATTGTTATTTTATGTCTTGATAAACACTAGGATTAATCATGTAATCATCGTACTAATTATTAAATACAATGGCTGGTGACAAAGCATGCAGTGCACACACTGGAAGAAAGAAATATCCCACTCTTTTAAAAGAAGAGCAGTGCTGCGTGACAATTGGATATTTTTACTTATTCAGAAGATTGATTTTAGCCATTAAAAGGGAATTAGTTTTTTATGATTCTGTACTTGATTCTGGGACTACAATTGAAGGGGGGAAAACTCTCTAGAGTCTCATTGATATGCTGTTACTCTTCACTGAGTTTTCTTTAAAACAGAAGTAAATCTTATTAAAACAGTGAAACTGCCTTTTGGTTGAACGACTGTGGGACATTGTTAATTGCAAATCGGAAAGCAAATTAGGTTTGATCAAAACAGACTGGGCTAAATTCGGTGATCATTTCTAAATTAATGTGCAGTGTAGCTCATGTTGATCTTTTTTATGACTAAAATATATGCAATGGTCTCAAATAATATATATTGTATAAAATTGTGTCCTGACATCAAACTCAGTATATCGATTATGCCAGGGCTTCGAAGAGTGAAGTTTAATTAACTGTCAAACTTCCACTTTCTTGTTTTTAGCCCTATTTTTTTTTTTTTTTGAGAACCCCTCAGCATAAAACTTTTATAAGTAAAACAGTTATTGGTGTGCCACTGGGTTCAGCTTTAGGTCCAGATGTGTTTTCAGTTGAGACTTCAGATACACTTTTTTTTAGTTTTTAGGAAGTCAGACAGATGCTGCATACCTTCCTGTCATAATGATTCATTTAGGTTGGCATTAAAGCAGGACCTTGTTCTATTGTTTTTGGTGAATAAATACTCATTTGTGCCATTGTTGTACAGAAGATAGTAGTAGTTTGTGTGTCATCTGCTGTCTACTTCTGACAGTACGGTCCTTTTAAAGTGTTTATGTGAGGTTTCCTTTTATCAAGTGCATGTTTAATGTGACAAACTGTCTTTGTATGCTATTATAATTGATTTAACATGCTGTGCATTGCTATACTCTATAATTGTTGCTGCTGTCTTCTTTACTGTCAGTCATTGCACACATTAGGATGTTATAAAAGGCTGAGGAAACTGACTGATGGACGTTTTCATAAATAAAACGCTTGTCTTTTTTTTTCCCCTAGGGATGAGGCACTGTTTATCGCTTCCTCCACTGCCTCTCGTCATGCTGTTTTGGTCCTTTAGAGAGTACAGCTCTAACACGTCCATGCAAATCACTCCTCAAATAAAGGCTGAAAAGAAAGTGTAGAAAGTGTGGTTGTCATGACTCCCATCAGCTGTTCAGCTGAGAAATGAGTACAGTAGACTGTCAGTCAAATCAAAACAGCAGGGCAATTAGATAGCAAGTTCATTTAAGCTAGCGGTTCAGAGCTTATTTTGTTTCAGGACTTAGAACATTAATAGTTTTGGTTTCTAAATGTTTCTTGAGTTTTAATGGTTTCATGCTCTTGGAAACCAATAATTCACTTTACAGAACATATTGTGATTGCCACAAACCTTTTATGGTCATAACAGTTGAACCCATATTTAATTTAATTTTATTTCATTTCATTTTATTGTTTTATTTCATTTTATTAAACAAATAAATACATTTTATAATTTATTTTATTGTAATTTTTTAATATAATTAATTAATTTAATTAATAAATAATTCTGTCTGATTTTGTTCGCGTTAATTAACAGATACATTTGTGGCATAATATTGTTGAGTATAATGAGCACATTTTTCTTCCTCTTCTCCAACAAACAATCAGAACAACTCTCATACTAGGGCTGGGCGATATAGCTAAAAAATTTATCAACGATATAATGTTTCATATTGTTCGGTATCGATAATTATTGACATTTTTTATACCTTTTTTAAAACAAAGAGCAATACAAATTTATTTTTACATTTAACCACTGTATTTTGAAATTAATCCAATTTATTGAGACAAACAACACATATTTTTTTGTTTTAACAGTCAAGCAAACAATACAAATTAAACAAATATCTAATTTCTAATCTTTTATATGCAGATTAAATAGGTCTTGAGGAAACTTTTGGCTTGTCTCCCAAGGTCACAGGAGGGCGCAATGAGCAAAATAATGTAGCGCATTTAAATTGTCAACGCAAGGAAATAACTGTCTATAAAAAAACGTGCATTACGTCTAAATTAACTCATATAAATCAAATTTAATTTCGTAAATTGCATAAACAATTATGAACAAAACAGCATCCTGTATATATGCATTGCTTAATACAAAGAGCCGAATCGCCATTCACGCAGATTGCATTTAAAAACATAAGAGACGCAGTAAAAGGGAATAACCTCCACAAATTCGCGATGTGTTTTCTAAAAGTTTAACTGTTTTAACTTTGCATGGCTACATCTCTTGTGTGAGACGCGAGTGCAGCAGTCATATTTGTCCGTCTAATGCAGACACAGAATATGCAGAATATGCATCTGTGTGAATGGCTTGTTTTCAGGATTCTCCGCATTGAGCTTCTATATTTCTCTAATATTTTAAATGCATAACACAGCAGTGGCGCATCTCGTGGGCTAGACTAACAAAACATTCAAATGCAACAACGTCACTTACATCATCACCGCATCTCGTACGCCACTGATGACGCTCCCTGACATTCAAATGCAAATGTTAATTTTAAATTCGACTAATATTTTTTTTTTTTATTCACAATCTCCTCATCACAGGCAGGCACAGCACACAGTTCAGCATGTGTTCGTGTTTGTGTGAACTGCCTGCGTCACTCATAGCACATGCCTATATCGTGCACTATATCGAATATTTTTAATATCGTTATCGAAGAAGGTGTACCTTCGATAAATATCGATACCGTTTTATCGCCCAGGCCTATCTCAAACCATTTTTGTCACAACCCACCAGTTGAGAATCAATGATCTATGGGAACTGAGGCGTGACAAGAGTTAATCTCCGTCTGGCAACAAAAATTCACAACAAGTTAGACGGAGTTGTGGACTCTTGATAATGTTGTAAAATAATCCTCAAGAAGCAGGGGTCTATTTTCCACATGTGTGCATCGCTGCTCTCTGAAGAAGGTGCCTAAAGTCTTCCCATGTGCTCGAGACAAGTCTTGAAATCTTTAATTTCATGCTTGCTTAGTCCACAGAACACAAATATTGATTGGTGTTTATAATTCCCAAATGATTATAGTTATTGTTTATGACCGGAAGAGGACTAGAAGGATTTGATTGTTGAAACATCTGGTTTAGTTAAGCTATTTGTTGGCACAATTGGTTCACTTGTGTTTGTCTGACATCAAACAGATGCTAAAAGCTTTAGAAGGAAAGCACTCCTTCTTGTTACTTAAAATGAGTCTAATCTGTTTTTTCCCTTGTCCTTTTCCCTTCTCTTTCTTTCTCTTCTCCTCCAGCTGGTTGGTGGTGAGTTTGATCTGGAGATGAACTTCATCATCCAGGATGCAGAGGCCATCATCTGCATGTTGGAGCTGCTGGAACACTGTGAAGTCACATGCCAGGCGGAAATCTGGAGCATGTTTACTGCCATACTGCGCAAGAGTGTCCGCAACCTGCAGACCAGCACTGAGGTCGGCCTCATTCAGAGGCTTTTGCTCAAAATGAGCTCTGTGGATGACATGATCGCAGGTGAGTGGTCTCAACCTGACCCTCTTCCAGAGTTTTGGAATTGACCTCTTGTAAAACCCATTTCTTTCTATTTCCCCAAAGCTCTATAAATGATTCAGAAAATGTTTAAACAGCTCTGAAATGAAAGATGTGCAGAATAGTCAGAACAGTCATGCTGTCTTTTTTCAGAAAGAGGATTCTGTCACTGAAAAATTACTTTAATATCAGTCTCTTCATTTTATATGGCTTCCGAAGACCTACTAAAAGAACTACTTTTATGGTGCTCTTTTGATGGTGTTTTGCTATTTTTGGAGCTTGACAGCTGTGGTCACTATGAACTGCCTTTGTATGAAAAAGATATATGTAAATATACTATATCACACATATGTAGTATCACATTTTGGACACGAGTGTGAGTAAATAATGACAGTTTTTAGCTATTCAACTACAAAAGAATAAGTAATCAAAACATTTCCATACCATAAACATGCATAATTTTTAAAATAAAAAAGTATTTATTTATTTTTAATTCAATTAAAAAAAATGTAACCTTAAAATAAAAAAGAATACATTTTTGTTCTTTCTTTCTTTCTTTCTTTGATATTTTTTTTTACGTTTTATTTATTTATTTTAGATTTTAATATGAACTTTTTTATATTTTTATTTATTCATTTTTTATTTGAAATGTGAGTAAATAATGACTGTTTTAAATTGAACTCCAAAAGAAGTAGCAAAAATCTGTCCGATTTTGTTCGCGTTAATTAACAGATACATTTGTGGCATAATATTGTTGAGTATAATGAGCACATTTTTCTTCCTCTTCTCCAACAAACAATCAGAACAACTCTCATACTAGGGCTGGGCGATATAGCTAAAAAATTTATCAACGATATAATGTTTCATATTGTTCGGTATCGATAATTATTGACATTTTTTATACCTTTTTTAAAACAAAGAGCAATACAAATTTATTTTTACATTTAACCACTGTATTTTGAAATTAATCCAATTTATTGAGACAAACAACACATATTTTTTTGTTTTAACAGTTAAAAACACAATAAAAATTAAACAAATATCTAATTTCTAATGTTTTATATGCAGATTAAATAGGTATCAAGGAAACTTTTGTCTTGTCTCCCGAGGCCACAGGAGGGCGCAATGAACAAAATAATGCAGCGATGTAGCGCATTTAAATTGTCAACGCAAGGAAATAACTGTCTATAAAAAAACGTGCATTACGTCTAAATTAACTCATATAAATCAAATTTAATTTCGTAAATTGCATAAACAATTATGAACAAAACAGCATCCTGTATATATGCATTGCTTAATACAAAGAGCCGAATCGCCATTCACGCAGATTGCATTTAAAAACATAAGAGACGCAGTAAAAGGGAATAACCTCCACAAATTCGCGATGTGTTTTCTAAAAGTTTAACTGTTTTAACTTTGCATGGCTACATCTCTTGTGTGAGACGCGAGTGCAGCAGTCATATTTGTCCGTCTAATGCAGACACAGAATATGCAGAATATGCATCTGTGTGAATGGCTTGTTTTCAGGATTCTAGTGGCGCATCTAGACTAACAAAACATTCAAATGCAACAACGTCACTTACATCATCACCGCATCTCGTACGCCACTGATGCACTGATGAGACATTCAAATGCAAATGTTAATTTTAAATTCGACTAATATTTTTTTTTTTTATTCACAATCTCCTCATCACAGGCAGGCACAGCACACAGTTCAGCATGTGTTCGTGTTTGTGTGAACTGCCTGCGTCACTCATAGCACATGCCTATATCGTGCACTATATCGAATATTTTTAATATCGTTATCGAAGAAGGTGTACCTTCGATAAATATCGATACCGTTTTATCGCCCAGGCCTACTCTCGTCATGCTGTTTTGGTCCTTTAGAGAGTACAGCTCTAACACGTCCATGCAAATCACTCCTCAAATAAAGGCTGAAAAGAAAGTGTAGAAAGTGTGGTTGTCATGACTCCCATCAGCTGTTCAGCTGAGAAATGAGTACAGTAGACTGTCAGTCAAATCAAAACAGCAGGGCAATTAGATAGCAAGTTCATTTAAGCTAGCGGTTCAGAGCTTATTTTGTTTCAGGACTTAGAACATTAATAGTTTTGGTTTCTAAATGTTTCTTGAGTTTTAATGGTTTCATGCTCTTGGAAACCAATAATTCACTTTACAGAACATATTGTGATTGCCACAAACCTTTTATGGTCATAACAGTTGAACCCATATTTAATTTAATTTTATTTCATTTCATTTTATTGTTTTATTTCATTTTATTAAACAAATAAATACATTTTATAATTTATTTTATTGTAATTTTTTAATATAATTAATTAATTTAATTAATAAATAATTCTGTCTGATTTTGTTCGCGTTAATTAACAGATACATTTGTGGCATAATATTGTTGAGTATAATGAGCACATTTTTCTTCCTCTTCTCCAACAAACAATCAGAACAACTCTCATACTAGGGCTGGGCGATATAGCTAAAAAATTTATCAACGATATAATGTTTCATATTGTTCGGTATCGATAATTATTGACATTTTTTATACCTTTTTTAAAACAAAGAGCAATACAAATTTATTTTTACATTTAACCACTGTATTTTGAAATTAATCCAATTTATTGAGACAAACAACACATATTTTTTTGTTTTAACAGTCAAGCAAACAATACAAATTAAACAAATATCTAATTTCTAATCTTTTATATGCAGATTAAATAGGTCTTGAGGAAACTTTTGGCTTGTCTCCCAAGGTCACAGGAGGGCGCAATGAGCAAAATAATGTAGCGCATTTAAATTGTCAACGCAAGGAAATAACTGTCTATAAAAAAACGTGCATTACGTCTAAATTAACTCATATAAATCAAATTTAATTTCGTAAATTGCATAAACAATTATGAACAAAACAGCATCCTGTATATATGCATTGCTTAATACAAAGAGCCGAATCGCCATTCACGCAGATTGCATTTAAAAACATAAGAGACGCAGTAAAAGGGAATAACCTCCACAAATTCGCGATGTGTTTTCTAAAAGTTTAACTGTTTTAACTTTGCATGGCTACATCTCTTGTGTGAGACGCGAGTGCAGCAGTCATATTTGTCCGTCTAATGCAGACACAGAATATGCAGAATATGCATCTGTGTGAATGGCTTGTTTTCAGGATTCTCCGCATTGAGCTTCTATATTTCTCTAATATTTTAAATGCATAACACAGCAGTGGCGCATCTCGTGGGCTAGACTAACAAAACATTCAAATGCAACAACGTCACTTACATCATCACCGCATCTCGTACGCCACTGATGACGCTCCCTGACATTCAAATGCAAATGTTAATTTTAAATTCGACTAATATTTTTTTTTTTTATTCACAATCTCCTCATCACAGGCAGGCACAGCACACAGTTCAGCATGTGTTCGTGTTTGTGTGAACTGCCTGCGTCACTCATAGCACATGCCTATATCGTGCACTATATCGAATATTTTTAATATCGTTATCGAAGAAGGTGTACCTTCGATAAATATCGATACCGTTTTATCGCCCAGGCCTATCTCAAACCATTTTTGTCACAACCCACCAGTTGAGAATCAATGATCTATGGGAACTGAGGCGTGACAAGAGTTAATCTCCGTCTGGCAACAAAAATTCACAACAAGTTAGACGGAGTTGTGGACTCTTGATAATGTTGTAAAATAATCCTCAAGAAGCAGGGGTCTATTTTCCACATGTGTGCATCGCTGCTCTCTGAAGAAGGTGCCTAAAGTCTTCCCATGTGCTCGAGACAAGTCTTGAAATCTTTAATTTCATGCTTGCTTAGTCCACAGAACACAAATATTGATTGGTGTTTATAATTCCCAAATGATTATAGTTATTGTTTATGACCGGAAGAGGACTAGAAGGATTTGATTGTTGAAACATCTGGTTTAGTTAAGCTATTTGTTGGCACAATTGGTTCACTTGTGTTTGTCTGACATCAAACAGATGCTAAAAGCTTTAGAAGGAAAGCACTCCTTCTTGTTACTTAAAATGAGTCTAATCTGTTTTTTCCCTTGTCCTTTTCCCTTCTCTTTCTTTCTCTTCTCCTCCAGCTGGTTGGTGGTGAGTTTGATCTGGAGATGAACTTCATCATCCAGGATGCAGAGGCCATCATCTGCATGTTGGAGCTGCTGGAACACTGTGAAGTCACATGCCAGGCGGAAATCTGGAGCACTCCCAAGGTCACAGGAGGGCGCAATGAGCAAAATAATGTAGCGCATTTAAATTGTCAACGCAAGGAAATAACTGTCTATAAAAAAACGTGCATTACGTCTAAATTAACTCATATAAATCAAATTTAATTTCGTAAATTGCATAAACAATTATGAACAAAACAGCATCCTGTATATATGCATTGCTTAATACAAAGAGCCGAATCGCCATTCACGCAGATTGCATTTAAAAACATAAGAGACGCAGTAAAAGGGAATAACCTCCACAAATTCGCGATGTGTTTTCTAAAAGTTTAACTGTTTTAACTTTGCATGGCTACATCTCTTGTGTGAGACGCGAGTGCAGCAGTCATATTTGTCCGTCTAATGCAGACACAGAATATGCAGAATATGCATCTGTGTGAATGGCTTGTTTTCAGGATTCTCCGCATTGAGCTTCTATATTTCTCTAATATTTTAAATGCATAACACAGCAGTGGCGCATCTCGTGGGCTAGACTAACAAAACATTCAAATGCAACAACGTCACTTACATCATCACCGCATCTCGTACGCCACTGATGCCGCTCCCTGACATTCAAATGCAAATGTTAATTTTAAATTCGACTAATATTTTTTTTTTTTATTCACAATCTCCTCATCACAGGCAGGCACAGCACACAGTTCAGCATGTGTTCGTGTTTGTGTGAACTGCCTGCGTCACTCATAGCACATGCCTATATCGTGCACTATATCGAATATTTTTAATATCGTTATCGAAGAAGGTGTACCTTCGATAAATATCGATACCGTTTTATCGCCCAGGCCTAGCAGATTAAATAGGTCTTGAGGAAACTTTTGGCTTGTCTCCCAAGGTCACAGGAGGGCGCAATGAGCAAAATAATGTAGCGCATTTAAATTGTCAACGCAAGGAAATAACTGTCTATAAAAAAACGTGCATTACGTCTAAATTAACTCATATAAATCAAATTTAATTTCGTAAATTGCATAAACAATTATGAACAAAACAGCATCCTGTATATATGCATTGCTTAATACAAAGAGCCGAATCGCCATTCACGCAGATTGCATTTAAAAACATAAGAGACGCAGTAAAAGGGAATAACCTCCACAAATTCGCGATGTGTTTTCTAAAAGTTTAACTGTTTTAACTTTGCATGGCTACATCTCTTGTGTGAGACGCGAGTGCAGCAGTCATATTTGTCCGTCTAATGCAGACACAGAATATGCAGAATATGCATCTGTGTGAATGGCTTGTTTTCAGGATTCTCCGCATTGAGCTTCTATATTTCTCTAATATTTTAAATGCATAACACAGCAGTGGCGCATCTCGTGGGCTAGACTAACAAAACATTCAAATGCAACAACGTCACTTACATCATCACCGCATCTCGTACGCCACTGATGACGCTCCCTGACATTCAAATGCAAATGTTAATTTTAAATTCGACTAATATTTTTTTTTTTTATTCACAATCTCCTCATCACAGGCAGGCACAGCACACAGTTCAGCATGTGTTCGTGTTTGTGTGAACTGCCTGCGTCACTCATAGCACATGCCTATATCGTGCACTATATCGAATATTTTTAATATCGTTATCGAAGAAGGTGTACCTTCGATAAATATCGATACCGTTTTATCGCCCAGGCCTATCTCAAACCATTTTTGTCACAACCCACCAGTTGAGAATCAATGATCTATGGGAACTGAGGCGTGACAAGAGTTAATCTCCGTCTGGCAACAAAAATTCACAACAAGTTAGACGGAGTTGTGGACTCTTGATAATGTTGTAAAATAATCCTCAAGAAGCAGGGGTCTATTTTCCACATGTGTGCATCGCTGCTCTCTGAAGAAGGTGCCTAAAGTCTTCCCATGTGCTCGAGACAAGTCTTGAAATCTTTAATTTCATGCTTGCTTAGTCCACAGAACACAAATATTGATTGGTGTTTATAATTCCCAAATGATTATAGTTATTGTTTATGACCGGAAGAGGACTAGAAGGATTTGATTGTTGAAACATCTGGTTTAGTTAAGCTATTTGTTGGCACAATTGGTTCACTTGTGTTTGTCTGACATCAAACAGATGCTAAAAGCTTTAGAAGGAAAGCACTCCTTCTTGTTACTTAAAATGAGTCTAATCTGTTTTTTCCCTTGTCCTTTTCCCTTCTCTTTCTTTCTCTTCTCCTCCAGCTGGTTGGTGGTGAGTTTGATCTGGAGATGAACTTCATCATCCAGGATGCAGAGGCCATCATCTGCATGTTGGAGCTGCTGGAACACTGTGAAGTCACATGCCAGGCGGAAATCTGGAGCATGTTTACTGCCATACTGCGCAAGAGTGTCCGCAACCTGCAGACCAGCACTGAGGTCGGCCTCATTCAGAGGCTTTTGCTCAAAATGAGCTCTGTGGATGACATGATCGCAGGTGAGTGGTCTCGACCTGACCCTCTTCCAGAGTTTAAGAATTTACCTCTTGTAAAACCCATTTCTTTCTATTTCCCCAAAGCTATATAAATGGTTCAGAAAATGTTTAAACAGCTCTGAAATGAAAGATGTGCAAAAATAGTCAGAACAGTCATTCTGTTTTTTGTTGTTGTTTTTTTTAGAAAAAGGATTTTGCAAATTGTCACTGAAAAATATACGTCTGCTCATTTTATATGGCTTCTGAAGACTACTTTTATGTAGGGATGCACCGAATGTTCGCCAACCGAAGTTATTTGGCCGAAAATAGCAAAAAAAAAGCTTTTTCGGTGTTCGACCGAATAAGCGAAACGACTGAACAAATTGTAACGAACAATGACGTGACGCGAATAGAGGCACACACTAATGCAGCAAACATGTCAGCAGTGTGGAAACATTTAAAGCTGTCCGAAAACAATGCAAAAAAACATTACAAGCACCGACAGCGAGAGACTGTTTAGTACTGCATCGCATTTCTTTGATGTTGCACACACACCTGCACTCTGGGGAATCCAACTGTACATGCACACTGTGCCCACTTCACTTAATCCAGATCTAACGTCTCTCTGTCTCTGTTTTTTTTTTCTTTCTCCATGATGAACAGACTTGCTGGTGGATATGCTGGGAGTTCTGGCCAGCTACAGTATCACCGTCAAAGAACTCAAATTGCTCTTCAGCATGCTGAGAGGAGAAGGAGGATTGTGGGTAAGCCACTGAAAATGAGTGAAAACTCATGTAGGGCTCTGGGGCTCCCAGGGGTTTTTTAGCTTCACCGCTTTTGGAGATCGTTGAGCCTTTTTAGACCTCTAGAGCAATCAACCGCAGAACAGATCAGGCCTGCCCAGGTATCGATTCACTGTTCTCTCGAGTGAGGGATATTGACTGAACATCGAGTGCTGGCGGACACCACAGTGAGGATGTTGTGACAATAGTTTTCAGTTTTTGGATAGAGTGAAGTACCCCTCTGGAGTCAAAAAGCGAGACTCGTGTGAGGACTGGGGCTTTAATGAAACAATTAGTTATGAGACATGAAAATGGAATGTTTTGATCAGCATGTGTTTTCATTATCTTGTCAAAACAGGTGAGAATACGACAGATTGGATCAATGTTCTTAAATCAGAACTGATTTAGTGAGGCAAAACGTTAAATTTAAAGTTGAGCATTTCAGAAGTTCTTGCTGAGAAGGTCCTGAGGGATTTTAGTTATGGTGATTTGGTTTTTCCATAAGTCACTTGTCTTACCTCTCACGTACTTCTGTCTTCCACAGCCAAGACATGCAGTCAAACTGCTCTCAGTTCTGACTCAAATGGCACAGAGACACGGACCAGACACTTTCTTTAACTTCCCTGGCCGAAGTGCAGCTGTGAGTGACCTCCGCTTTTTAGCCTCTTTTGCGTTTCCTTTGAATGCATATCTCAGTTGTTGTGAAGTTAAATTAAAAGTTGTTTTGAATGTTATTTTCACAGTATGGTTAACTAATAAATAACCAATTTTAAATAAAAAAAAAATTTGTCTAAATAAATAAATACAAAAATTTAAAGCAATCCGCTACAAATAAACATTTATAATGCAGACAACTGTTCAAAAGTTTGAGTCGGTAAGGTTTTTTTTTTATGCTTTCGAAAGAATTGTTTTAAGCTGATCAAGCCTGCATTTATTTGATCAAAAATACTGTGAAATGTTATTACAATTTAAAAGAACGGTTGTCTGTTTTAGTATGTTATAAAGTTTAATTGCTAATTTTTTTAGCAGCTATTACTCCAGTCTTACATGATCTATCAGAAATCATTCGGCTGATTTGGAATAATAATAATAATAATAATAATTTTTATTATTATCAGTGTTGAAAAAATTGTGCCTCTTAATATTTTTATGGAATTTTTTCCAGTATTTTTTTAATGAATAGAAAGTTCAATTTAGCTTTGACTTTAAGTCTTCACTGTCACTTTTGATCAATTCATTCCTTGCTGATTAAAGTATTAATGTCTTTCAACAAAGAAAAAATCTTACTTACCCAATTTTTGAATGGTAGTGTACATTTAATAAGGATTACATGTAACAGTTTGATTATATTTTTAATTAAATCCTTAGTGCTTTTAAAGAATAACTTTAAGTGCAGCAAAAGTAAACTAAAAGTAAAATTAGAGTGTGCATGTCTATATATGTATATATACAGTATATCCAATTTCGACCAATACTAGTAAATATAAAAACTAATATGGTGCTTGTGACTATTTTTCATATATTTATTTGACTGGCTATTTGTATTTTGTGAACAATAAGTTGATGGCATAAATTGTTTATTTTTTTGAAGCGCTGGATGGATATAAACAAATGTCTAGCATGTTAAAAGATTTATAAAAAACATATACAGGCTACAAGACATTTTTGCCCTCTGTTTTTTTGCCAGGCGATTGCGTTACCTCCCATTGCTAAATGGCCTTATCAGAACGGCTTCACCCTCAACACCTGGTTCCGCATGGATCCTCTGAACAACATCAACGTGGACAAAGACAAACCCTACCTTTACTGGTGACTACATTCACAGCCTACGCTTTAATGTGGTTATATATAACTTTGTCAACTCATAGATAAAACTTGCTTAGCAGAAAAGAAAATGACCTTCAGCGCCTGCTTCTGTAAGTAAATTAAACTGAGTGGCTTTGTTTTAGCGTTTAATACAGAGAGAGAGAGAGAGAGAGAGAGAGTTCTGGCTGCTTTGCCACTTATATAATTAGCTTTGTTAGAGGATTTTGTTTTTTGATGATGAGGTGGATTATGCAAGCATAAAAGGGAATTAGGTCAGATTCTGCTGATTAAACCAATAGGTGTTTGAACCCCAGGGCAGAATGTTCTGGAATCACTGGAAAACCTCTGCAGAGGGGCACTAGGGTGGAAATAGACATTAATTTGGGTTTTTAATGTCAGCCAGGCAAAAAGAGCATCATGTGTAGAGACTTGTGGGTAGTTAGAGCTCAGATCAATAGCACAGACACGTGTTTATTGGCCAGGATTCCAGGAGCGAGGCAAAATGTTCCTCGAGGGAGAAAGAGTGAGTGTGTTTTGAGAGAGAGAAAGAAGGACAACATCCATTTTTGAACATCCATTGAAAAAAAATTGTTTCTTAAATGTTCTTGAGTTCACAATACTGAGTTCAGTTCCTCCATACATTATGTAGATCCAGGCATTGAGAAACTGCCCCAGACTTTGTGAGGAGGTTACAAAACAGCATTGTTGAAGGCTGCCATGCTAATAACACTAGCTACCGTTTGAAAGTGAGCACTGGGTCCTGCTTGCTGTTGTGCTGCCAGATCTGTAGCCTGGAGCCAAGCGTAGGACCGCTCACACAAACTCAGAGTTCAGTCTGTGCATGATACAGATTCAGAATAAAAGATGTTCGCAAAGAAAAACAGAGTATTGATTCACATTGAGAATCACACTCATTCTCTGCTCTTGAAGACACTAAAATGTTCTCTTGTGCTGTTAGTTTTCTTGTATGTGATTGTGAATGCTTCTATTGTGGCGAACAGAGAACACAAAACTGTCTTTGACATTTGACATACAGTAAGATATCTTTACTCGCTCCTCTGTTTTGGAACAGAAAACTAGTTAATGCATATCAAGAAACCTACATACTGTGCTAAAAACATTGTAGACCAGCCTAAGCTGGTTTTCTGGTTTTCAGGTCTGGTCAAACTAGTAGACCAGCTAAGGCCAGCAAAACAAGTTGTTATTAGAAAGCTTAAGATGGGATTTTCCCTGCCCTGCTGAAGTAGAACATCATAAACTAGCCTAAGATGGTTTGCTGGTTGTAGCTGGTCTAACATGGTCTTAGCTGGTTTAAAATGATCTCCTAGTTTGGCTAAACTGGAGTTATGCTGGTTTAGCTGGTCAGAAAGATGCTTTTTCCAGTCTGACCAGCCAAAGTGCCCAAAACTCCTATAGAAAAACCAGGCTGGGACAAGAAAAAAAAAAACATCAAAACAACTGTAAGCTAAATATAAAGTGTTTTTTTATTTTATTTTATATATATATACATATATATATAGTTTAGGTTTTTCAAGGCTAAACTGGGATTCACAGGATCACATCTTAGACTGGTTTAAGCTTTTTTTTTAAACAAGAAATTATGTAGATATAGCACATCCGTGTGTTATGAATTGCTATATATTGTGTATTTTTCAATTTTTCAATTTCAGTTTCCGCACAAGCAAAGGCATCGGCTACTCGGCACATTTTGTGGGAAACTGCTTGATTGTGACGTCGTTGAAGTCGAAAGGAAAGGGCTTCCAGCACTGCGTGAAATATGACTTTCAGCCCCGCAAGGTAGGCTTTCATTTCCAGCTTTGATTCTCTGAAATGTGTGCTTTCAGTGCCAGGAAAGAAAAATACAACTATTTTTAAAAAATTAAAATAAAAAATGAAATTCTATATTTTTCCTGATCTTCCTGATTTCATAGACTATTGCAGCATTTAGCCTTTAATTTAAAAGGTTTTGATGATTACTGAATTAGTCTGCTATCAAGAAGTATTGTTGGAATCTGCATGTAATTCAGTTACTGTTATATTATCAGTCTTTTATATAATTTTTATGATGTATAAATGCAACTTGACAGTGTATGTATCTATTTCCTTATAGCAAACCTATAATTCTATTTCCTAGAATAGCAAACACTGATAAATCATTGATTGTGCAAGAGAATAAAATGAAAATGAAATGAAAAGGGTTTATTTTGTTTTAATGCTGACAAAATCACAATGTAATAACGTTTTTCCTTCTCTAGTGGTACATGATTAGCATCGTTCACATCTACAACCGCTGGAGGAACAGTGAGATTCGCTGCTACGTAAATGGACAGCTTGTCTCCTACGGCGACATGGCTTGGCACGTCAACACCAACGACGTAAGACCACTTTGTTATCACTCTCTCAGTCTTAGCTGCCGGATGTTGTCTCAGAGTGTTATCATCACCACTGTGTGCACAGTGTAAAATTAAACTATGAAAGATGCATTGATTTATCACAGTTTCAGAATACATAAATGACATTTATTTCTGCCAGCAAATCAAGCCATTCATGTAGTGCATGCTGCAAAAATCCTTTTCTTAATCAGTAGTTTGTTTTTTATGTATATTTTAGATATGCCTTTATATATGAATAATTATAATAGTTATTTAAATAATAGTAAAAAAATATTTTTGAAATATTGGTTGTCTCCCTCTCTATATACTGTATGTACATGCTGGGTAGTAATTGATTGCATGTGATCTGGATTATGTAATCAGATTCCAAGTATTAAGTACTTAGATTATATTACCTTTTAAAATACTTGTAATCAGACTACAGTTACTTTTTTATTAATTACATGATTTCATATTATTCACACTATATCAGTAAACTGTTCATAATTTATTGATTCTCCCTAATTCTTCTTTTTCATATTTTAAGTGTACCCTTTTAAAATAACCTAAGCATCTGTAGTAATCTACTGATTGTGTTGTGAAGGAGTAAGAATTGAGTGGATGCACTTGTGAATTTTCTTGCTGTGATGCTCAGTGAAAATCACGAAGCTGTGTCGTAAAATGCATGATCCAGTTAACTGGGCTAAATATGTTTACAAACTGTTACTAAACCCCAGGACATAAGATAACTGAGGCCATTTTCTGTATTTGTTTTTGTTTTGTTGAATCGAAGGGAAATCTCTTGGAAATCACTGCACAGCTACTGCAGTTTTGAAACATCTGTCTAATAAATGATTTCCTTGTTTCTACTCAATGTTTAATGCTCTTAGCTGGTGTAATCTTTATAAATGTTAATTACTCAAACTTGCTCTTTTGAGCCTTAAGGGATTTGCCAAGGTCGTGAATGTCTTTCCCAAAATTAAATCTTACAGTTTAATCGTACATTCATGGGGGCAAATTAGCATATTGTGTGAAACTGTGAGTTGATGTGCAACATAAGATGATGCAACTTTGTGTTGAATGCAAAATAAAATAAATTAAAACTTAATAATACAAAATTTAATAATAAAAAATTATTATAAATAATTTATAACAAACAAATAAATGGGATGAGCACTTTAGTGGGAGACAGAATTTAAGAAATTCAATTTAATGTTTTTATTTTCATGTGTATAGTGGAATAATGTGCAGATAAGCGATGTGATTCATACTTCTTGTGATCCAATTTATGATTAAAACAACAGTTCATTGTTAGTTTAAGAAGCCAAATGCAGTTCTTTGGATTAATCAGATTTTCCTCTATCATGCACATGTAAATGAACCGTTTAATTCTTCTGATCTCCAGTGGTTTAGACTCATATAGGGTTTTTATTTCTTTTTCTTTTCATCTTCCTAATAACAGCTTTGAAATTTTGATTTAGTGACTTAATATAAGCAGTAACAGGCTTTATAGCAACGATTTTTAATGTGGTTTTGTTTTGAGGATAAAATAAATAAATAAAAAACTGCAGAAAGGTTGCAGCAGCAGAATGGCAATAGAGCAATATCATAGTTCATGCATATATGTATGCATTTTTCAAAATAGCAAAATGGATATGTTAGTCATGTTGTTTTAAAAATGAACTAGTATGAAAAAGAAAAGGATTAAGAACAGCTCTGTTGCGTGTTACGTTGCTTTAAAAATATACAACAAGCAGCATGCTTCTTGTCCTGAAAGGTGTGAGCTTCACTCCAGAGTGTGTTTGAAACACTGCACCATATCGTGACTCTTTCGTGTGGTGGCACATTGACAGAAATGAAATCTGTAATGACCCTTGTCTCCTGCTAAGTAAACCTGCCTTTACTTCCTCACTTTCATTTCCTCTCTGCCTCTCCCCTCCCCTCCCCTCCCCTCCCCTCCCCTCTCCTGTCCTCTCCTCTCCTCTCCTCTCCTCTCCTCTCCTGTCCTCTCCTGTCCTCTTCTCTCCTCTCCTCTCTCCTGTCCTCTCCTGTCCTTCTCCCTAATTCTTCTTTTTCATATTTTAAGTGTACCCTTTTAAAATAACCTACCACTTATATACATTCAGAAAGTCTTCCAGTTTTGTGAATATTCACACAAAGACCGGTCACTAGTAAGTTGGTTATAATTACACAGAAAGTTGAGAGGCCACACAGTATTCGACCACTGGATTTAAGAAAATCATTTCAGTTTTAAGAAGTGGTTTCTCAACATTTCATCGATTCAGAAGTAATCTAAAAGTAATCAAAAAGTAGTCCGATTGTATTACTAAAATGTGTAATGGATTACGTTGCTAACTACAATTTTAATTGTAAATTGAAATCAGCAATCGACTACAATTTGTAAGTAATTTACCCAGAGTAAAAAATATAAGAAAATGTAATTATGTTTATGTTTGGAATACACACAACAAAAATTCTGATTAATAAAATGGAACACTCGAATGTAGAAAATCTGAAATACAGACTTTATTTTGCCTGTTCAAACCTTTTATGAGATATTATCTGGGGATTCAACAATTGGATTAAATTTCACAGACCTTTGCCTCTGTTTTGCTGTACTTCACTGAAAGCAATGTAAGATAATTAAAAGGTTGGACCAGCAGTGCTTAACCTCAGATCTCCTGGGTGCCGATTTTGATTAAACTAATAGGCAGGTTTCAGCACTGAATAACATATCTGTAATGCTACATCTCAGTTACGCTGTGAACCGTTACTCGCTTATTATGAAGTCTGCATACTGACATCCACTATATTTCCACACCAGCGCTCTACTTTTTCCCCTACTATTCACTTTTGAGAAATTTTGTTATGGAGAACTCCAAGCTGTTTTCTTCATGTGCTTATCACAGAGCTATGACAAATGTTTCCTCGGCTCATCTGAGACGGCAGACGCCAACCGAGTGTTCTGCGGACAGCTCGGAGCCATCTATGTGTTCAGTGAAGCGTTAAACCCTGCTCAGATATTCGCCATCCATCAACTAGGCCCAGGATACAAGGTATGTATTAGATTTGCCAAAGTGTGTTACACACCAACACTTCGCAGTCACCATTGATCTCCAAGAGATGTTATTCCTTTGTCGGTGACATTTGGTTATTGATTAATGTGCTTTCCAACATGACTTCAACACCCTGAGGAAATAACCACGCTTTGAAGATCTAAATCTCAGCTGGTTTCTAGATGGTCATTATTGTCCAGCTACCATGTTACAAAACTGGATTTCACTAGTGTGAAATGCTGCATTTACATATTGACTTATTATTAAACGTTTCTTTGATGAACCTTACTCTTTTTGTTGTCCAAAGTTTCTCAGTTTTGCTTCTTAATGAAGTCTTCCTCCAGATAGTTTATAGCCTTTCTTTCCCTTTTCATGTTTCTGGCACTAATTCTCAAGGTGCTTTTGAAGTGATTTAGCGTTTCATTGTGTCCATGGGGTAAACAGAGCAGGTTACTGTGAATAAATTTTTTTTCAATGCTGTATCCTTATTAAATATGAAGCTCTGTCATATTAGTAATTAGGACTCGCAGCAGTTTTTCAATCTCATTGTGCAAAGTCTAATTTTCTCTGAAGCACCAGGCTTTGATTAGTGACTCATTATCTAAAACAATAAACCACATGCATGGAACGGATAGCATATGTATCCCAAAATGTACATTGGTTCAAAGCCATTGTTTATGAATGATGAGCTTTTGCTAATTTAATTACAAATTCACCATCTCTATTGTCTTTGCTCCATTACAGTAGTGTTTTAGTTATGGGCTGTGTAATCTACAAGGACAAGCAAGCTAATAACTTTGCTTATTTTTACCTTTTGTGTTTTAAACTTCCTGGTAGACATTTGCACTGGGTTTTCTCTAATCAGTTTGGGCTGGTCATTTCCCTTATTAATTGTGCTTCTAGACCTCTGGTTCCCGCTGCCCCTCACGTTGTCGTGACGGGCAGGTTGGCAGAAGCAATGAGCAGTCTGCTTCAGGGAGAAAGCAATTACCCACCTCAGATGAACCTGTGAATGGAGTCTCTCGAAATCTGAAAAGGGGTTGTATATTTCAGCGGAGTGCCAGCTATCAGGCTGCCTGTCAGCTCTTCGGGCTGATCTACCTTGTCTAGTAATAGGGCAGAGGCCTTCAGAGTTTATGTAGCAGGGCTAGACTACAGGGCCTGGCCCCCATTTGATGAAAAACGCTATAAAATGGGGTTTTAATTGTGATGGATCCACTATAAGCAATACCGTCTCCTTTAAAATAGTGTTTGTGGACCGAATGACAATGAGGGTGCAAAAATATTTTTTTATTAGAGCCTGCTCATGCAAGAACATTTAATAGTTGTAAAAGAAACCATGAATGTGGAATAACACATATTCCATATGATTTGCTGAATTCAGTCATTGTTTTGTTTTGCCTTTTTTTTTTTTTTTTTGGCTTTGCTTTGGCTTGGTTTGGGTGTTCTCAAGTCATGTTAGTTGCAATAAATCTTAAATAGATTTTTTCCCCCGGTTTTTGTTTTGCTTTCGTTTGTGTTTTTCTTTGCTTTGCGTTGGGTTGGTTTCGTTGTTCTCAAGTCGTGTTAGTTAGTTAGGTAGTTTTTCCCCCCCAGTTTTCAACCCTTGTCTTTAGTGACTTCTGTTTCCTGCCCTCAACAACGTCTGACACCATTATTTGTTCTGTTGGCTGTAGTGTGTTGGCTCTTCTTAGCCTTTTAGCAGAGTACCTGCCCGGACACGCACAGTCTCCTGTGATTTCTGTGACTGATCTAAAGATGACCTGATTACTGCCGTGACTCACCAGAAAAGGCAGTCTATGTTGCAGCTGCCTAAAAATTTGGCTTTGCTTTGGCTTGGTTTGGGTGTTCTCAAGTCATGTTAGTTGCAATAAATCTTAAATAGATTTTTTCCCCCGGTTTTTGTTTTGCGTTCGTTTGTGTTTTTCTTTGCTTTGCGTTGGGTTGGTTTCGTTGTTCTCAAGTCGTGTTAGTTAGTTAGGTAGATTTTTTCCCCCCAGTTTTCAACCCTTGTCTTTAGTGACTTCTGTTTCCTGCCCTCAACAACGTCTGACACCATTATTTGTTCTGTTGGCTGTAGTGTGTTGGCTCTTCTTAGCCTTTTAGCAGAGTACCTGCCCGGACACGCACAGTCTCCTGTGATTTCTGTGACTGATCTAAAGATGACCTGATTACTGCCGTGACTCACCAGAAAAGGCAGTCTATGTTGCAGCTGCCTAAAAACACTGACCCCCAATCAGACTTGTGGTCTTGTCTTAACTGAAGCATGTACAGGTTTGGTCTCAGATTAGCAGTTTTCAGTGTCACATGATCCTTCAGAAATCTTTCTAATATGCTGATTTGGAGCTCATGTGGAAACCATGATACTTTTTTTCAGGATTTTTTAATGAGTATAAAGTTGAAAGAGTCATGAACTGCCTTTTTTATTATTTTGTACTGTTCTCTGAGGTCCACATATAATCAAAATTGGTACATCAAAATACATCATTAATGAGTATAAAGTTGAAAGAGTCATGAACTGCCTTTTATATTATTTTGTACTGTTCTCTGAGGTCCACATATAATCAAAATTGGTACATCAAAATACATCATAATTTAGCAGCAATAGGCTATTTTCTGTCCTGTTTTGACCCCCCTCATCAGAACGCTCTGTTTGAATAGGTGTGGCAGATTGTAGACTCGGAAGTAAACGCCCACTGCTATGATTGAAACAGTTGTGTATGTTTGACAGCCTACAGCCTTCATGGATGGACGCTGCTGTGATTTAGGTTAACAGCAGTACATATCAAACTCAGTACATATTGGCCTCTCTCGTTATTTACACTAAATGCGTAAATCAGTGGGCGGAGCTAATCAGGCAGTGATGTAGAAGCAGGCGTCGATCTTCTGCGGAGGCGGGGTTTACCCGCTCTATTACGTCATAGAGCGACACATTCCACAAGCTGTGGTTTTGGCAGATTGGCTTCAATATAAGCTGTTTTTAGACTAACAAGAAAGTTTTGAGTTCTGAAACTTACAGGATGTTTTTATAGTACGATGACCTTTTATTTGTCAAAAGATCAAGGGAATTTTGATTTCTCAGTTCTTGACTCCTTTAAAAAGAACATTTATATGTGTGTATGTTTTGTATTTCATATTGGATTGAAGCGGAACTAGTCCCTTTCTTTGTCTTTCTCCCTATTGTCATGGAAGACAGATGCGCTATTGCTACTGCGAAGTCTCACTATGAGAAAACATGTGAGCATTACATCAGATTCTGACAAAAGTGTATCAGACGTTACGCCGACATTCTGTCAGGTTTATTTTCTTCTGATGCTGTGCTTTCAGCTTTTTTGCAAAACTGTCAGCATGCATTAACATGCTGTGGTATTTATTTTCCAATCCGTCTGATGGATTTTGAGATTTGTTTTGTGCTGTATCATATGTTTGCAGCAGCAACCTGACCAGCAACAGGTGACATTTACGCTATCTCTGTTCAGCAAGCAGAATAAACCAAACAACATGAATCTTTTTAGGTCAAAATAAGCATACAGACCAGCAAATCTGGTATGTGTTTCTTTTTCTCTTTCTATTCTCCATTTTGAAAAGAATACAGGTAACAGTAAAGCTAACGTAAGCAACAGCTAAACAGATATTACTTGTTTGCATATAATGCTATATTTCATTTGCTCACAGATTGTGAATGTTAAAAATTATTTGATTAATTTTATTGCCTTGGAAACCGTATCCACATGGCAATAATCTAACGACAACAAGTTCATTACAAACACCCTCCTACATCTTTAAACAGACACTGGTGCACAGTTAGTACATGGATAATGAAATATGAATATAAAGGGTCAGGAAAATAAAAATCAGTAGTTGTTAACATCTCATTTGTATTCTTTGTTTGAGTTTAGGGTAATTTTAGGTAACACTTTATTTTAAGATGTCTTTGTTATACATGTCACTTGTACTTATTATTATAATAACAATAAATTATGCATAATTACATGCAAGTAACCCTAAGCCAAACCCTAATCATATAGTAAGTACATGTAGTTAATAAATATTACTCAGTACTTAAATGTATAATTACACTGTAACAAAGACACCTTAAAATAAAGTATAACCTAATTGTACATAATTTATGGCAATTTTATATAAAACTTGATAAAAAATGTCAAGTAAGCTAGATGATATTTACTAAAATAATGAATGAATTGATTGAAAATGTGACGCAAAAATGTGGTGCAGAGCTATTTGAAGTATTTATTGTTGAATTATGTGTTGTTTTAGGCAAATATAGCAAGAAATAAAGTATATACTCCACAGTATGCAGTATGTGATGCACTAGTGTTCAATCTTGAACATAGTCCATTAATATGAAATATTCTTATTAATAATATGAAATACCATTCAGAAATATTTTTTAACAAAATTAATATTTTTATTCAGCAAGGATGCATTGGTTAAAAGTGACAGTTAAGACTGTAATAATAATAATAAAAAAGATTTATCTTTCCTATAAATGCTGTTCTTTTATATTTTCTAATCCTGAAAAAAAAAATGATGTCCATTTCCACAAAAATATGTAAATATTGAACTCTTTTCAACATTGAAAATAATAAGAAATGTTTCAAATCAGCATATTAAAATGATTTCAATTTTGAACATAGTCCATGTTTTAATGTGTATCTTTGGGGAAAATAAGTTTTTTTGCCCTTAATTGTGCATATTATGATATTCAGACATGCTCATATGTGCATATATATGTTACCTGGTCACATGACAAACTATAAACAATGTTTTTGTTCATGCAAGTGTTATCGCGTGTCTGCTGATAAAAACACAGGTGATTTTCTAAAAATGCCTTGTTAGGATTGTCTGCTTACTGCACATTTACACAGTTAGCACACGTCTGGAGCACATCTGGATGACATCATCACCTGGGATGTACTGCTGGTGTTGGGCCACAGGCCTTTGATTTGACAGCACACAAAACAACCTCATAGATGATAATTCAGCCGGGGGATTCCCACATTGCCCCTACTTCATCTTCATGATTATTTCATGCCACTAAGCTCATTTATTATTCATCATGCTCCCACGACTTTGGATAAGATTTAATCACTGCATAAAAATAATCTTCTCCTTTTCATGCTAGGAATTGTAAATCCTTACAGAATAATACGATTTACATAGAGGTACTATTTTAAGATGTGTTAAATATACATTGTCATATTTGGTTAATTCTCTCACCTTTGTCTCACTTGACATGTCTCACTTGTGTTATGCACTGTTTAGAGGCAAATTATGAACCAGATTTTCTTTCTATATTGGTCTATATTTCTCTTTTGAATCCATCCCTTTATCATTATTTTTTACCTCCCTAGAGCACCTTTAAATTTAAATCAGAGAGCGACATCCACCTGGCTGACCACCATAAGCAAGTGTTGTATGATGGGAAGCTAGCAAACAGCAATTCCTTCACTTACAACGCCAAAGCCACAGACGCTCAGCTCTGCCTGGAGTCCTCCCCCAGAGAAAACCCGTCCATATTCGTGCATTCGCCTCACGCTCTAATGCTACAGGTAAATGTCTGCTTAATGCTTTAAGACTGCGTTCTACTTTCTTAGTGCTAAATAAACCACATAATAGTTGGTAATGTCACTAAATGTTAATCAGATGCTGCATTGTTTAGCTAACACCACAAGATAATGTCAGTGTTTGCCATTCAGTGTTAATTGTTTGGATGAACACATTTCCGCTGCGATTAGTCAGTGCTTAATGTGAGTCAGTAGTTTTAACAGTGGCAAAAAATTACTGAATGCATCCACCACTACTTTTTTAATCCATTTGATTTTTTCCTTCTCTTTCTATATAGGATGTGAAGGCCATCGTTACACACTCCATTCACAGTGCCATTCACTCCATTGGCGGTATCCAGGTGCTGTTTCCTCTCTTTGCACAGCTGGATTTCCATCAGCACAGTGAAAGCCAAGTGGAGACCACAGTGTGGTAAGTAACATCATTTCCACCTTTTGAATGGAATTAATACGTTTACTCAGTAAGGATGCATTTAACTGATTGAAGTAAATTATTTCAAATAAATGTTGTTCTTTATGCTGACTAATCTACTCTTTAAATCCTGGGGGGAAAAAATTATAATAATCAAACTAAGCAGCATATCTGTTCTCAACATCGATAATAATAAGAAATGTTTAATCAAATAGCATATTTGAATGAAAAGCTAAAAATTCAGCTTTGGCATTACAGAAATAAATTACAGTTTTGTTTAAATTGTAATAATATTTTCCATCATATCAGTTTTTACTGTGTTTTTGATCTAATAAATGCACCCTTGTTATGCTTCAATGTTTCAAAAACATGAAATAATCTTACCAACCCCAAATATTTGAACGGTAGTATTTAAAAAAAATTATTTTGTATTTTATGGCCAATATCTAGTAAATGTTAGATATTAAAATTCTATACTATTATGTCAAAATAATTAAAAAATAAAACACTATTAAATTCAAATCAGTAGTGAATTTAAGCATCCAAATGAATATTCATTTTGAGATTTGTTAAAGATTACATTTAACAGTGTTATTAAATATTAGTGTTTTTAAACATTAACTTTAGGTTAGTTTTAGATGACGACAAAGGTAATCTAAATATAAATTAATCCACAATAAAATATCCAATATTAGCTGATACGGATAAATGAAAAAAATTATAATAATAATATCGGCCAATAACCTAAGCAATATATCAAGTACAGGATGTTCTTACCATTCATTCCATCAATATTTAGTCAGCAAGTCTTTCATTTTGAGTCTGCAGTGGTTACCCCCATATAGTTGTGTAATGAGATGTTTTCTGTGCAGTTCCACTCTCCTGGCCTTCCTGTTCGAGCTACTCAAGAGCTCAGTGGCAATGCAAGAGCAGATGCTTGGTGGGAAGGGTTTCCTTGTGATTGGGTACCTGCTGGAAAAGGTGATGTCTCTGTTTTCTTTGTTTTTCTTATTCCAACATACAATTTAGATTGGTTAAAGTTGAAGTGTGTAATTTTTGCGCAGTTAGCAGCACAAAACAGAATTGCTAAAATAACTTTTTCCAAATAGGTTTTCTCCTACCACTGTTCAGACAAATTGGTAGTTCTACGGCCAGGAGCATTGGTTAGGCCATAGCTATTATGTTGGGCCACTCAAATAAACAGAATAATGTTTAAAGCACCACATTGTTTACGCTCTTTGGGGAAATCAGCTTATGAATGTCTTATACTTGTGCATTAATTTGGATAAGAGAATGTATTTTAACACTAAACACACCTTAAACTGCAAAACTTCAAGGGATTTTGATGTGTAATGGACAAATTGTGCTTTTACTCAATTCACAAATACTTGCTCCTTTCTTTAAAAGGCTATAAGAGTATTACGATTTGTACTTTTCTGAAGGAGTTGTTAAGACCTTGCTTGACTCAAGCTTTTGTAAGCATGAGCTGAATTTTAAAAAACACGCACAAAATTCACTCGCTAGGACAGAGGAGAAATGGTGCATTATGGTTGATGAAGGACAAACGCACACTTCAGCATTTCCATGGTGAATGCTGGTTCAACAGCGCTATTATATTCCTCCTTGTCCATGGGTTTATGGCAATGTCATACAAATTAACCCAGTGTCATTATGCTTTATGCTTTACTTATTAACAACTGTCCTTATTTCATAGTCTCAATATACCCGTGGCTCCATCTGAAGTCGGCTCTTGAGTAAAAAGACTCACTTTGTCATTTAACAGCAGCAGCTGTAAATCTGAGCTAGACGACACCTGAATGATCCCGCTGCCTTGCGTCCCATTCACACGTGGCCGGCCATCTGTTTGTGTCTCGTTTATACTCACTCCTGTCTCACACCACGCACCTGTCTGGACCTCAGATGCCAGCTGAGACTAATAACACACAAAGTCTCTACAAAGTTAAAATCTTTGTTTAGCTGAAAAGTCATACTGAAAAGTCTTCAGATGCTGGTTGGTTCATTTTTTTTTTTTTTAAGGAAACTGAGAATTACAGGTTGGTTTGGTAAACAAAACTCTCATAATTGTTTCTCAGGCATCTCGAATGCACATCACCAGGGCCGTTCTGGAGCAGTTCCTCACTTTCGCCAAATACCTGAATGGCCTTACCCACGGTGCGCCTCTTCTCAAACAACTCTGCGACCATATCCTGTTCAACGCAGCTATTTGGATTCACATACCCGCAAAGGTGAGCAAGGTCATGTCTTTTGCAGAAGATACTCAGGTATGTCCCGAGGAAACATGACAGCAATCTGAGTACACTGTGATGGGCACCGGTGTCATGAGACCGTAGTGACCTGGTCAGATGAGCACGGGGTGATATTTGCTGAAGTAAACATAAGGCAGAGAGTTAACTCTTTAGTCTTCACGTCAGAACAACACATTAAACTCAACTTGCACTGCGTCTGAAGATGAATGATCCCGCTGCCTTGCGTCCCATTCACACGTGGCCGGCCATCTGTTTGTGTCTCGTTTATACTCACTCCTGTCTCACACCACGCACCTGTCTGGACCTCAGATGCCAGCTGAGACTAATAACACACAAAGTCTCTACAAAGTTAAAGTCTTTGTTTAGCTGAAAAGCTAAACAGAAGCTGGAAACTGAGAATTACAGGTTGGTTTGGTAAACAAAACTCTCATAATTGTTTCTCAGGCATCTCGAATGCACATCACCAGGGCCGTTCTGGAGCAGTTCCTCGCTTTCGCCAAATACCTGAATGGCCTTACCCACGGTGCGCCTCTTCTCAAACAACTCTGCGACCATATCCTGTTCAACGCAGCTATTTGGATTCACATACCCGCAAAGGTGAGCAAGGTCATGTCTTTTACAGAAGATACTCAGGTATGTCCCGAGGAAACATGACAGCAATCTGAGTACACTGTGATGGGCACCGGTGTCATGAGACCGTAGTGACCTGGTCAGATGAGCACGGGGTGATATTTGCTGAAGTAAACATAAGGCAGAGAGTTAACTCTTTAGTCTTCACGTCAGAACAACACATTAAACTCAACTTGCACTGCGTCTGAAGATTTTTTGTCCGACGTCACAGATTTAGGATAACCCTTCTGCTCCACTTGTATTTTCACAGCCTAATCAATTCCTGATGCATAAAATCAAGTTCCATCCTATTTATTTTTTAATTGAACATTTTGTTCAATGCATTGTCTTTGAATATCTTCTTTCACTTGAAAATAAAGTAGAAGTAAAATAAGTTATTAACACCTTTTTATATCGACTTTATTACCCATCTCTCTTGGTTAATAAGTTTCATGTTGTGTCATCTAAAAAGCAGACACTTCTTTGTTTAAGGAAAGCTTTTTACTGAAATTGTTTACTGCTCCTAAACTGCTTCTTGTTCATCAGAATTTTTTGACATTAACAACGTCACAGTCTGTCACCGCATTCACCAGAAAATCACAGCCTTGAAGAAAAGTGATAGTTTTCTTTAAAAAGATTTACAATCCAGTGACTTGTGAGCGTTTGCAGTATTGTCACAGATGGCTGGTAGATTCAGAGTGACAAGCTTCAAGCTTTGAAAACATTTTTTTAGAAATTCAACGAAGGAGAGGATGAGGCGCTTCTAAAAGAGGCCAGACTCTGTGCTGCTAATATGTGTTGCTCTGCACGGCTGCTGACTGTCATGAATAAATAAAGGAGATACGACAACACATACGGGATCAAAACAAAAACCGTTGGTCACTGGAAGCTTGCCATGGCTCCAAAAGGAGAGAGATAGTGGGAGTTTTCTCTCTCTTTCTCTAAAGAGATGGATAACAGAAAGAAAGAAATGCAGAAAGAGAGGGATGGAGGGAGAGAGAGAGAAGGAAATAAGCAAAAGAAAAAGTAGAACAGAGAAAGTAAAGAGAAGAATGGATAGATGAATGATGGAACAAAGAAGAAAGAATAAAAGAAAAGACAGAAAATGGGAAAAAAGCATGACAAAAGAAAGGAAAAAAGAAACATTGTAAAAACTGAAATCTGAACAGATAAAAGAAAAGGAAATGGAAGCAAACAGAAAAAAATAATGAAGATAAGAGAAGGAATGGGAAAAAATCAACAGCTAGATGAATAGAAATGAAAAGAAAGAAAGAAAGAAACAGTAAAGGGGGCAGAAGGAAAAAAAATGGATATGGATGATGGAAGGAAGAAATATAGAAAGGAAAAAGGTGAATGAAAAAAGTGAGGAAGAAAAAAGGTAGGAAGGACAAAAGGTAGAAAAGGGGAAAAATTAAGAGAATGACAAAAAATTATAAAATGGTAAAAAATATATATATAAATAAAACTGAACAGATAAAGGAAAGAGGGGGAAATGATGCAAAAAGAAAGAAGTGATGAAGATAAGTGAAGGAAGGAGAAAAGTCAACAGCTTGATGAATGCATTGGAAAGAAAGAAAAGAGGAAAGGAGGCAGAAGGAAGCAAGCAAAAGAGAAAAGGAGAGGCAGAAAGGAAAAATTGGTATATGGATGATAGAGGGAAGATAAAGGGAAAATAAAGACAATGAAAGAAAAAAAGTGAGGAAGAAAAGAAAAAAGGAGGTAGGAAGGACAAAAGGTAGAAAAGGGGGAAAGTAAGAGAATTACAGAAGAAAAAGTAAAGGAGAAAAAACATGACTAGATGAAAAGAAAAGAAAAGAAAACATGGATATACTGCATAGATGAATACAAAGAAGCAAGGAGGAAAGTGTAGGAGAAAAAAAGGAAAAACAGGAGGAGACATGAAAAGGAGAGAGAGGACGAGAAAGAAAGAAAGAAGGAGAGAGAGAGGGAGTATGAGACTAGTTGAGGATAATGAACTGAGCAGCACAAGCAGCAGCAGCAGTGTTCTCTCATCAGGCCAGAAGAGTTCATGGACTTACATCATGTTTTTGATCCTCCCTTCGTTCCTTTCCATCATCCCTTCCTGTCCTCGCTGGAGAGCCCAGTCTGCCGGCATGTGGGGCCTGTAATTGGATGAGTTATGTACCTTCATCAGCGTTTTTTGTCCTCCAAGGTTTTCCTGCAGCACGTCACTAGTCAGGCCTGACCTGCTGCTCACAAACAAACCACGGCACCTTTTGACTTTCTGCTTCACCCTTAAATATATTAACCGGGTCTGCTGTTCTGCGGCAGAGTTAGCCATGCCAGACGTGTCACTCCCATGGAAATCTAACAAGAAAATCATTTTAATGATGGATCTTGGGATGCAGTTTAGAAACAACAGAAAGACGATACAAAGTAATCATCAGTGTTTTTTATTTTTACCTGAGGCAGCTGTAACCTTTTGTAACCGTGTGTGTGTGTGTGTTTCTCTGTTGTTCAGGTGCAGCTCTCGCTATACACGTACCTCTCAGCAGAGTTCATTGGCACGGCAACCATCTACAACACCATCCGTCGAGTGGGGACTGTGCTCCAGATCATGCACATACTGAAGTATTACTACTGGGCTGTGAATCCGACCCACATCAGTGGCATCACACCCAAAGGCCTGGGTCTGTACACACACACGCACACACACACACACACACACACACACACACACACACACACACACTCTGGCAACTTGTGACTTTCATGCAAATAAATCTAAATGAATCTAAATAAATTATATCTAAATGAATGTAAATAATATACAATGAGCAACAATAAACAAACAAATGTTTTTAGACCTAAACATTATATATATATGAATAATTATTTTTGTTTTATTTCATGTTTTTATAGCCACTATCCACTAATATGGTACAATTTGGTGTTCTATTAATTACTTTTCTGAAGCAGTAAAGGCACAAAATTGGAGTGACTACTATTAGATATGATTATTAAATATGTAAAATGATACATACTTTTTATTAATTATTGTTAAATCATTTTTAATAGCTGAAAATGTGTTTTTCGGTGTCTCACATATTGCATGACCAGTAACTTTGGAAAATTGTGACATTTTAATTTGAATTTGAATCATTCATTTGAATTTTGTATAATTTTTCTTAAAAAAAGAACTTGCCAATTTAACCTGTGACCAAAGATATTGTAAGAAAAAATTGGTCAAACATACAGTATATTTAACTTCCATATGCTTACTATTACTTGCAGTCATGTTAACCATTCAATATCATTCTTATTATATACTTTATAATAATATTAATATTAAAAATATTAATACATTGTATTGATTTATTTTGTTTATTATTTTATAATTTAAAAAAATATATATATTTATTGCTCAGAAATAACAGAATTACATGAGTCAAGATTTTAAACTATATTCAGACATGCAAACATGAAATAAATATAAAATAAAACACGCTAGTCGGGACACCAGTATCAAATTCATGGTTTAGGTCTTATTAACGGTCTGCAGTTTCTGAGAGTAACTTTTAATGTAGCTCAGCATTGTTGAATTACATAAAACTTTGACTGTTTCACCACACCACCTGCATTCCACCTCAGTCAATCTTCCACTTTGACTAAAAGCGTTTTATGTGAACTCCCCATGTACCCACAAGGGCTTCTCACAGACTCTTTCTGTCTCCTCGTCATGTCCGCAGTTATTATGAGTGACGACAGCGGCCCGGATTTTCACCCCTGATGAGAAGCAGCACTTTTGAATAATCCTAGCTTCATGCTGGTCCTTTTCCCTGAAATTTGGCACAATTTCTCTCTCCCACCCATTCAAGCATGTTTTAAACCCTCTGTACAGAGGTAGAAAAGAGCACAGAGGAGTAATAACCCATGAAAGCTCCACATTGTGATAGACACTAGAAGTAGCCATGTGGGCTGAATTTCACATGGCTCACCCTGGGCAGCACACAACTAGCCTTTCATTGCTGAAAATATGCTTTTCTTTTCATCTCTTATACCCCCCTTTACTGTCATTTTTCATAGATCATGGCTTTTAACTGTGTACCTCTCACTCTTTTTTTCTATTCTTTCCTGTCTTATAACACACTTTCAGGTGCACACTCTCTTTTTCCTCTCTTCTAATCGGTTTTGTTTCTCTTTCCTCATGCCACAGCTTCCACTGTCCTCTCTGTAAAGATTTCCTGCTGAAGTTGAAAGCACCCACAGCTAGAATCTTTTAGACTTTCATGTCCTCTGAATAATTCACAAATATTCTCTGAATAAATCACTCGTTTTGAGGTCAGAAGTTTATGTTTTATGCTCTCGACCATTTTAGAACAATTTAGTTGTTTGTTAAAACACAGAGAGGTAAAAATTGCCTCGTGAGAACATTCTGCATAAATTGGCTATATAGAATTCATGTTAGACAAGATGGCATTCAGTGACTTTAATAAGCAGAAGACTGACAGATTAAAAGGATTTCAGAGACGCAGCATGCTTGCACATTCACTGTGGGACTGGGAAATCGAATTGTTCTCCATTATTCCTTTTATTCTGCTCCTGCAAGGTTTTGTGATCTGGATTCTGTACAAAATATTAGCCAAGCGTAAACATAGCTGAATTTGCATTAAATGAAGAGTCAAGAGTTATAGATTAGCATTTAGCGCCAAGGATACACGGCTACTTTTGAATATTCAGTGCTTATTTATGCCGAGCTTTTTGTTGTCTTTTGACAAAAATATCCTTTAAATATAGTTAACAATTCATCAACTGCATCTCATTTTAGCTGACAAACACTTTAAATTAGGGACTAATTCTCACTGTAAACTAGTTGCTTATTAGCATGCATATTACTAGTATATTGTCTGTTTATTAGTACTTATAAAACATATATTAATGCCTTATTCTGCATGACCATATTTTAGATCCCTTTATCATACCCCATACCAAAACTTAACAACTACCTTACTAACTTAAAAAAAAAAACAATAATAAATAATACATTTATTTATCACAAATAAAATAAATATTCATAATAATAAATAAAATAATTTATTTATCATCATGATGTAAATTTTTCATTATCATTGACACACACACACACACACACACACACGCACATGCACGCGCGCACACACACACACACACACACACAAACACACGCATGCGCACACACACACACACACACAAAGTGTTGTTAACATACATTTCCAATCAAACGTTTAGGACTGGTAAGATTAAATAAAAAATTCAGTAAAGCAGTAATAATGTGAAAAATTATTATAATTTAAAATAAATGTTTTCTATATTCATATATTTTAAAATGATTTATTCATGTTAAGGCAAAGCTGAATTTTCAGCAGCTATTTCTCCAGTCTTCAGTGTCACATGATCCTTCAGCAATTATTCTAATATGCTGATTTGATGCTCAAGAAGCATTTCTTATTACTATCAATGTTAAAAATAGTTGTGCTGCTTAATAATTTTGTGGAAAACGTGATTTTCAAACTTGTTTTCAAAGTTGGAAAGTTCAGAAGAACATTTTTACCAAAAATCTAATAGAAAGTTCAAAAGAAATAGATATGGAATAAAATCTTTGTAACATTATAAATGTCTTTTCAGTCTTTTGATCAGTTTAAATGTGTCCTTGTTATATATAATTATTAATTAAAAAAACTATAATAATCTTACTGATCTCAAACAGTTGATCGGTAGTGTATTTGTCTGTAAATTTGTTGACGAGGCGCTATAGAGACACGCGGGAGAAACAGCTGCAGATAAATGCTGAAATTAATCGACCACATGTTCTTCTAACGCGTTGAGCTCACATTGATCCATCATGGTCTATTATTCTCTGTGCCTGCTGCTTTTCAAGATGATTGTCTTTCATCTTCTTTATTCTTAATAATCTTCAATAGTAAGTGTGTGTGATTACTGTGTTATGTTCATTAGATTTCCAATTGGTCTTTATCACAATCTGAAATTATTCTAGTGTGTTTCACGTGAGCCTGAAGAAAGAGTAACTAATTATCTATAGTAATAGCAAATCTTCACAGATTGTCATGATTTGCTTCTCTCCAGTGTTTTTGCCATCTTTTCTCTTTTGCTATCAATAAAAGAGGCAGAAAACCTTCCACTGCTAAATTAGTGAGCATGGTGAGGGTTTTTTCCACAAAGCAGTAAATGGGTACGCTTGTAATCTGGCTTAGTAGTGGATTGGATAACTGATTTTGCTGAAGCTTTTTTGTGTTATTGACCCTTGAGCCTTGTTTCGATTCCACACAGATTCAGATCGCTGTAGTTGGCTGTTGCGGGGGTGTCCCGGGAGTGGAGATGGCGGGTGACTTAGCATTGGTCGTGCCAACTATGGTTTGTTTTGTTTTGAAATGAGAGTCCAATCTTACTTTTTTATTCCTAATGGTCAGTGGCAATGCTGTTTTTGAGGATGCCAGGCACTGGAAAGACACTTAAAGCAATTAAAATTGTCTCATGCTGTCTATGGGTGTAGAAGCCAAGTAGTGAAATATAGTTTCATGTGGAGGTTAAGATGTTGTAAATAACATGAGTTTATGTGCCAGAAACCTTTTTAATACAAGTTAATACAAATGAACCTATGTCAACATCTATGGCAGTATATTTTTGGGGTCAGTAAGATTTTTTAAAATGTTTTTGAAAGAAGTCTCTTTTGCTCTGCAAGGATGCATTTATTTAATCAAAACTACAGGAAGGACACTAATGTACATGTTTTCTATTTGAATATATTTTAAAATGTTATTGAATTTTCAGCAGCCTTTACTCCAGTCATAAGTGTCACATGATCCTTCAGAAATCATTCTAATATGCTGCTAAAGACACATAATTATTATAAATTTTGCTGTACTAATTTCATTTCATTTTCATTTATTGATTTATTTTTCAAGACTCTACAATCAACTTGGTCACTTCTGATATATATATATATATATATAGATAGATAGATAAAAATTATATATATATATATATATGTATACACACACACACATATACATATATATACTGTTACGGGGCTGACGAGACGTGAGACGTGCGGATCCATTCGCAAAGCTTTTATTGTGGAGAAGACAGAGACATGGTCATGAAGCAGGCAGGGTCAAACTGAGGCAGACAGGTATATGGCGGGCAAAAAAAGAATAATCCTAGGGCTAGCGTGGGTCGATGAACTGCAGACAGAATCAGAAGGGGCAAGACTAGGGGAGAAATCCAGGAAACCAGGCGAAGATCAGAAACCGAGAAAGCGGCTAAGGCTAAGGCTGGGAAACGACTGAGGGCTCTGTAGTGTAGCTATCACTAGGGGAGTGATAAACGCTGAAACAATACTCGGCAGAGGGAAGGGATCAGAGTGAGTGTTAAATAGTGAGGGAGTGATATGAAACAGCTGGGTGCAAACAGTGTGAACAGCTGTGTGCAATCCGTGCTGAGTGCAATCAGTGCAATGCATGATGGGAAATGTAGTCCGGGGTGATGTGCAACAGTGTGTAGTGCGAGAGTCAATGAAATTGGAAGTTCATGGACCGGATTCGTGACAAATTCTGTGTTTTTCTGTCAATATGGGGTGCTGTGTGTACATTAATGAGGAAAAAAAATTAACTTAAATGATTTTAGCAAATGGCTGCAATATAACAAAGAGTGAAAAATTTAAGGGGGTCTGAATACTTTCCGTACCCACTGTATATATATCTAAATATATTAGTTATTCATTCAAAACATTGGTCACCTCTGATTAATTTAATCTTACTGACCCCAAACCTTATCTATCTATATATATATCTATATATCTATATATAGATATGGTGTATATATATATATATATATATATATATATATATATTAGACATATTAGTTATTCATCTAAAACATTCATAAAGCAGATCTTTGGTGGAAATAAAACCAATATCAGTAATTATGATATTATTGAAGAAAGTAGTACAGATTTGTTAGCACTTTCACTCAGATAATGAATTTCTTATTCTTCAGGCTGACATTAAACAACACATGCATTTCAAAAATATGATAAAAACTAAATAGATATCTAAAGAATGTAACAGTGTACATACGCACAAGTGCAGAAGATGAAGGACTTATGTTATCTCGAAGAACAGCTGGCACTGAGATTAATACACCATCATGAACCTCCAAACCCCTGTGACACACAAAGAAACACTCCAACATGTTTCACTGTCACTCCAGGTGAAGAGGTCTTAGAGCAGCTCTCCTAAAGTATGTAAAAGAATTTGTCTCTGGCTTGCCAAGTAGGTAATTCTCTGTGGTGGTCCACACTGATTTATTCTTCATTTGTCAAACTTTTTTTTTTGTCTTTTCCCACAAAGAAATGGATTATAGAGAAAGCAGTATAACATAATGAAGTGTTCAATTACTGCAACAAAGAGTTCTGTTTTACATTGGAGTCACATCAGCTAACCACAAACCTTTCTCTCTCACACACACTCTCTCTCTAAAAGCAAGACCTCACAAATTAAAGTCATGCATCACTCCTGCCTATTGTTTTCAACAGCACAGACAGTCTTTCCTCAACAGTGTCTTGAAGAAAGACTCCCTCAAGAAGCATCAAGCACACAAACGAACAGTCCTTTTGTGCATACTTAACTTTAGTTCTTGCATATAACAAACCTCAGTACTCAAGACACTGATAGAGCTGTCTGTAGATAGCTGTGCCATTAAATCTGCTGTGTTGTTTGGGTAGCTAGTTGAGTAAACATGTTGATAGATTGACTAACTTAAATTAGCTTTGCGAGATTGTAACTACAATTGGTTCTTAAGAGAAAATGGACTGTAGAAGGAGACAGTTTATGTTAAAGGAATAGTTCATCCAATAATGAAAATTTATAGAATTAATAGCATTACATCACTTGCTCACCAATAGATCCTCTGCAGTGAATGGGTGCCGTCCGAATGAGAGTCCATAAAAACATTACAATAATCCACAAGTAATCCACAACACTCCAGTCAATCAGTTAATGTCTTATAAAATTAAATGTTGTGTTTGTAAGAAACAAATACATCATGTTTTTAACTTCAAACTGGTTTGTCCAACTAAAAATATGAGTCCTCTATTCATAATTTTGTTTTCTTTAGTGAAAAAGTGATCTTGTCTGAATCAGGAGAGATGGACTTTTTAATTTAAGAAAGTATCATTAAGGTTTATGGTATTTTGGCAAGAAGTGAATGATTAAAGTTAAAAACGATGGCTATTTTTTCTACAACGACACAGCTTTTCACTTCACACAACGTTAATTGATGGACTGGAGTCGTGTGAATTATTGTGATGTTTTTATCAGCTGTCTGGACTCTCATTCTGACGGCACCCATTCACTGCAGAGGATCCACTGTGAAAGTGTGAAACACATTTATGTTGCATTATGAATGCATTCAGACATGTTTGGGTGTTCATGTACTTATGTAAAGTCTGTGTTTGAATGCTCAAGCGCACACAGTTAATCACTTTTGTTAATGTTTAGTCAGCCAAAACCCAAGTCCAGTTCTGCTGTGTGAAAGCTTTGTGTAAAACTCCAGGGGCTGAATACATTTTCCTCCTTTTGGCTTCGTTTTCCCATTTTCCTGGCTTCAGAAGATAAGCCGTAGTATGACTCCAAACCCAATTACAGCATATTTACTGTGGCTTGCATTAATATTTACACCCTCTGAAGGGATCGTTTTTAATAGCATTTCTGTATATGTCCTGCAGATCCATTTTGATATGACGCTTTCACATATACTGCTGTTTGGGCCGATCTTAAGGATAGTGCACTGTGTAGGGGAGTGTGAGAGAACATATTCATTGATTATCTGTTTGACCCCATGCCAGATTCATTATTCTTTGCAAATAAGAGACAGCGTTTGCAGTGAGTGTTCATATTCACAATCAATTAAATGGTACAGGAAGGAGTGTTATTAAGTAAAAGAGATATCAGTCTTTCTATTGATCTGTTTAGCTTTGCTTTAATCATGACTTTGATCTTCTAATGTGATCCAGTAGACAGGCAAATTAATTAAAAATACATTTTTGCCCTCTTGTTTTGCTCAATTTGGAGATAAACTTGGCACCAATCTACGGCCAGTTGCTCCAAAGTCTCTTAGATTGCAGATTTTGCTGTTTACTAATGAAATAGTTTTAATATTAGTTTTAGTACTATAATGGCAGTTCAGATTAATGTGGAAACTAAGGAATCTATAATGATTAAGTATTTCGAGAAAAATGCATGCTTTATATAATCACTCAACATATTGACTGGGAAGGTAACATCCCATGATCTTACTTTAAAAAGTGCTTGCTTTAAAAATGATCACATTGAATGAAGGATGAAGACAATGGATGATCAATTGCAGACTCTTAAACTAAACTAGACAATCTGTTAAATAAAAGCAATGCTAATCTTGTCAATGAAATGATTGATGAAGATGTTTACTGCTGTTCTTTCGTGATCGATATTGAAGGCAGTGCAGAAAGATGCATTTTGACAATAATTAAAACCTGTTTGAGCTGGAAGAGCTGAGCCCTGGTAAACTAGTGAGTTAATTAGTTCACTCAAATGCATTTTCTGCAAATGATATTAATCAGCTGCATCTACAACACAAACATAGTATTACGATTGCACAGACAATGAAGCTTATACACAGAATTACATTCTAGATGTGTCAGTCACATTGCAAACATGCTGCAATATTGTAAACAGTCTCTAAAATTTGAAAAAAAAAAATTATGTGACAATACTTATATTCATCTATTGTTTTAAGGGCTTTTAGGATGTTTTATGTTGCCAGACTTAATACATGTTTAAGTTAACATGTTTTTACAGTATTCAAATTGAAAATTTGTTTGGTTGAAAATTTGCTGTGCTATAATTGTTTTATTTTTTTATTTAGTCATTTTGCACATAGTTGCCAACTAAAATAGTTTAAAAAAAGTAAAACGCTAAAATCATTATGATAATATTAACTAAATTTAAAGCATACTTTTGTCAAAAGACAAAAACTAGGATGAAAACAAAAAAACTTACATTTAATATATTTAATGAATGTTTGGATTATTTAATATTCAATAAATATTTAGCTGAATTTTTATAATGAGTGACTGGACTGCCTTAATGTATTCAGAAATATATAGTGAAATAAAATCTGGATATGTTGATCTTTATTTTGAGGTAAAGGGAAAAACAGCTCCAGTTGCTTAAAATTATGCTTCACAATTCTTGATGAATGAAACCTTTAGAGACATGTCACTTTTCTAAAAATTGCTGGTCGCTGCTATCAATGAATAGGGAAAGAGACATGTTAAATGAAGCGGAGTTGATCACTTCAGACAGTGTAGTAACGAATGATTGGTGGTGAGCAGACCTCCTGAGATGAATCTGTGCATATGACAGCTAATCAATTTGTGTTTCATTTTATATCAATGCTTAGACCATTCGCAGTAAAACAGCAAATGAAAAGCTGTCACACATGCACACTGTGCTCAAAAGGAGCTCTAAGAGGATGAGAGACCATCGCAGATGTTGCTGAAATGAACTGTGGCCTGTTGAACTCTCGCTGTCTTCCCGTCTGGAGTTAATAAGAGCTTGGCTTTTCTTCTGAGAACTCTGACCTCTGTTAAGCTCTTCTCGACTGCCAGAAGTGGCTGTCCACTGACTGCGAGCAAGACGCTCTTTGACACTGTTGCTATGAATTTAATGCCAATATCTGTGAAACATTAAACATGACATTTCTGAGATGTAGTGCAGTTTGTTGTAACAGTTCTACTGTGACTTTGTGTTGCTAGACGGTCCTCGGCCCTCGCAGAAAGAGATCGCCTCCCTCAGAGCCTTCATGCTGCTCTTCCTCAAACAGCTCATACTGAAGGTGAGCAGCATTTAATGTGTTCACATATTGTGTAACTGGATAATATTTAGCATATGCATACAAATAAAAATACAAATATAATGACTTGACATCTGTCCTCAGTCTTACCACCCATATTAACTATAGTTTAACTGTGGTGTGTAGCAAGACCATAGTAAATACTTATAATATCAGCCATATCAGAAACATATCTGCAGAAATACATTGAATTTTAAGAAATGTTAATGAGAGATGATATCCTAATGTTTGTATCCATGCTCATCAATATACTGTATTTAAATATATTTTGGAAGTTGAAATGTCCTGCTCAATATAAAACTTTTTTTATATATATAAAAAAATGCAAGTTTTATTTTTTTTATAATTATTTTCTAATTGTTTTATTATAATTTTATAAAATAATTATTATAAATAAAATGTAAAAAAATGGGAAGCTGAAATATCCTGCTCAATATAAAACTTTTTTTTTTAAAGAAAAGAAAATAAATTTTGTTTTAATAATTGTTTTCAAATTATTTTAATTACAAATGAATAATTATTAATTATTGTTTACATTTGTTGTTGTAAAGCAGTTGAAATCGATTTAGGAAGGAAAAAAATTTATTATTTATTTATTTATTTTTGGTCACACTATAAGGCATTGTTATATGAACGAGTGAAGGCAAAAAATTTTATTAAAAATTATCAAAAAATTTAAAGAAATGCGGGCTATGTTACAGGACCTGAGATATAAACTTTTCCTTAAACTTATACATTCATATAACTTTTAACCTTTCATTATATAGTTTTATAGTGATTTTAATTTTAATTGTGTGCCTGTCACAAATACACAATATTAAATTATCAAAGTATAGAGAACAGCAGCTCTAGAGCTGTTGCTTTGGCAGGTTTTCAATCTCATTCACCAGCCCCAGCTGTTTACAATTTTCTAACAGGACCGTAGGAAAAAGTGTACACTTGTTCAGACCAGTGCTAACAAATCAAGAAATCTGTCAGGTAGCCAAGGCACGAGCAAACAACAATTAGCTCTCAAGCTGCCTGTGCTCTTGCAGTAATGGGAAACGTGTGCATTTGTCAGCACCGCTACAACCAGACAGTTCACGCTGCTTTCCTAATAATAAGAGACAGCTTGTAAAAGTCAGGACCCAAATTTGCTGTAAACAGTAATTTCAGCAAACACAAACAGCCTCAATGAATTTGAAATCATTGTTCATTTTGTGTGTTTTCTTCTCATTTCTATTTCTATTTCATAGTCTACCAGCATGCCGATGGCAGTAGCAGCTTATAAGTGCAGCTGGGTGTTTAGCAACAGCATATTGCAAAAGTAGCATTGTTCAGCATTTTCTTTTTTTTGTTTTATTCATCAGGACCGAGGTGTTAAAGAAGATGAGCTTCAAAGTATTCTCAACTACCTGCTGACCATGCATGAGGTGCGTCTTCACCATATTACAGTTTTCCCTCAGCAGACCCTTTGAATCTGACATACTGTATATCTGTTTTTACAAGATTTTTCCTTTTCCTTTAAGTTTCTAAATGGGCCCAGTTTTATGCCCCTTTAAAACATTCTATTCGATATTATTTAAATGATTAATTTGGGCCAGGTAGTAAAGAAAAATCACCCAAAAAACAGAAACATATAAATTATGTTCTTTTGGAGTTTCAATTCATCAAAGAATCCTAAAAAATCCAAAAATATGAAGCAACACAACTGTTTTCAACATTGATAGTAATTAGACATATTTATAGAGCAAATCAGCATATTAGAATGATTTCTGAAAGATCATGTGACACTGAAGACTGGAATAATGGCTGCTGAAAATTCAGCTTTGACATCACATGACAAAAAAAAAAATTAAAACATTAAAACAGAAAGCGGTTATTTTAACCATTTAAGTGCCACCCCCATTTTTGAATATAGATGTGAAAGTGCACTATTCAAACTTAAATTGTTATAATTCATGAAGCTTTGGAATACAGACCTAAGGTTGGACTCTTTTTTTAAGAAGACAATCTGCAGATTATTGCAGAAGTGGAATCATTTCAAAATATTAAAGTATCAAAAAGTTATAGAAGTTTAAATTTACTGTAAAGAAAATGCACTGTACCATTTTTATTTTATTATATATAAAATAAATATTTTTAAAAATATTTTTGAATCCAAAACTGCTACAAAATGAAAGCCTTATGTCGAAATAAGTTATGTTCCAAATTTGAAGTTGATATGAAAAAATATATATATTTAGGGCGTTATACCACAAACAGCCACTAAGTGCCACCCCCATTTTTGAATATAGATGTGAAAGTGCACTATTCAAACTTAAATTGTTATAATTCATGAAGCTTTGGAATACAGACCTAAGGTTGGACTCTTTTTTTAAGAAGACAATCTGCAGATTATTGCAGAAGTGGAATCATTTCAAAATATTAAAAGTATCAAAAAGTTAAAGAAGTTTAAATTTACTGTAAAGAAAATGCACTGTACCATTTTTATTTTATTATATATAAAATAAATATTTTTAAAAATATTTTTGAATCCAAAACTGCTACAAAATGAAAGCCTTATGTCGAAATAAGTTATGTTCCAAATTTGAAGTTGATATAAAAAAAAATTGAGGTTCCTGAGAGATCTTATTTAGGGCGTTATACCACAAACAGCCACCGGGTGCCATCAAAACTCCATTTAATTTTTTTAATGCATTTTTCTGTCACAAATATCTAAATATCTCTGTCAATATTACTTCTATCACAAAATACCACCAAATATGGAATCTTGAGACTCAGACCTTTCCGATGATATGTATTTTGTCAAGATTATAAAAAGTTTTGATTCTAAAAGAGCATAATACATTTTGTAATATAACACCTGACTCCACCCACTAAGGGGGAGGAGACCAGCAAAAGATTTTAAAGTACCATTTCCATGGTAACGCAATGTCCGATTTCAAAATGGTTTTCACAGGATGAATTTTGAGGTTTTAAGCTTTCAAATGATATGTAATTTATGATTATTACTAAGATATGTGACAGAGAAAAAAGACAACGAAAAAAAAGAGCGCCAACGGACCCACCGGTGGGCCGGTGGCACTTAAGAGGTTAAATTGTAATAATATTTTTCAATATTACTGTTAAGAAAGTTAACATTTTTCAGTCACTACGTTTTTTCATATGCCCATTATTTAGTAGTTTTCATGCTTTACTATTATTCTAAAATGTCGAAAACAGTCCCATTAAAGAATAGTTAGGCCTGTACAAACTTTTGCTTTAGTTTTGGAGCTGAATAAATTTGACACGGTTGCATTAAATGCTTATGTGTTTTACTGTGATCAGGATGAGAACCTCCACGATGTTCTTCAGCTGCTGGTGGCCCTCATGTCTGAGCACTCTGCCTCCATGATTCCTGCCTTTGACAAGAGGAACGGCATCCGGTAAGATCTGACTTCACTCCACACACACACACAGTCAAATTTCATTATATTTCATCTAGTCTCTGATGATGGAGTTTGCCTAGATGATACAATCATGAATTATTCACGAGACTCGACATAGGAATTGCAATGATATTTTCATATTTATTTATTTTTTCTGACAAGCAGGATAAAGCTCACACCCTGCATGTCAGGCTAATGAAATATAGATGGATTTGATAGAGTTATTTGCTTTTTGAAGTTTTGGGTTTGGCTAAAAATAACTGATATGACTTTGATAAACAGCTTCATGGTGCTTTACACAATGCCATTTCCTCTCTAGTATTACTTATTATTGTCTGCCAGTTTCTAATTTTTTAGCAGCAGCCACATGATGAATTGAAAAATAAATTGTTTGGCACTTTCCCACTGGTTCTTCGTTTTTGACATGAAATGTAGTGAATTCATTCAGAATATTTCTCTTTTTAGTTTGAATTTAATTTAATTTCTTTTCAGGGTGGTGTACAAACTACTGGCTTCCAAGAGTGAAAGTATCCGGGTTCAGGCTCTTAAAGTTCTGGCATATTTCCTCAAACACTTAGGCCACAAGTGAGTGCATCCATTCTTCTCTTTCCCAGAGACATTTTCACAATGAAGTCTTCCAAGAGTCATTCTTTTTTTTCTCAAGTGTATCTGGCAAGGTCAAATTTGTGCTTGCATAAGGACAGAGTTCTCATCAGTAATGTGTTTATGAATTGAAGTAGTCTCTATATGGCTCCAGGGCTTTTGGTACCTATAGTGAGATAATCTACCCAGAAGCCTTTTTTTTTAACTAGTGTGTGATTATGTATGCTGCTATTTGTAAGTGTGTATATATATCTACATATGTAATTTTAATTAATTCATTATTATCAATAATAATGTTATTAAGTTTAATGAAGTCCCCAATGCTCACTAAGGCTGCATTTTTATAAAAATACAATAAAAACAGCATATTGTGAAATATTATTACAATTTAAAATAACTGTTTTCTATTTGAGTATATTTTAAAATGTAATTTATTCCTGTGATGGCAAAGCTGAATTTTCAGCATCATTACTCCAGTCTTCAATGTCACATGATCCTTCAGAATTCATTCTAATATGCTGATTTGTTGCTAAAGAAACATCAACAGTTTTTCCTGCTTCTTTATTTTGAATTATTCCAAACATTTGACCACTAGTGTATTCTAAATTATTATTTGTAATCATTAGAAATATGTACTATTGTTATTACTATTTTATTGGAATTGAAAGATAAAAATATAATTTAATATAAAAATAAAAAATGTAATAAAACATATATATAATAATCACGATGTGTAATGCATATTTTGACTAAAACATTTTCTGTCATTTTAATCTTTTTATTATTTAAAACTCGATGGATGCAAACCAAAATATACCATTATTCATAAAAAAATTAATTCGCCTGGCATCAGTGCAAAAACAGCTTCACATTATGCAAAACATAAGACTCAAAAAACTGTTATTCACTCTGGATTCTGACTGAAGGAGCCAGATAGCTGATAAACACACATACGACCTCATGTCATTTGCATTAATGTACTAACTGTGACATTGCTCAGCAATCATAATCAACTTATCTTTGCATTATGTTCTGTATTTTGCATTACATAATGTTTCTATGTTGCCCTCACATGTAAATAATGTAAAGCATTCCTGCCCACTGATGCAAGTATATGTACCACGGCCAGCTCTTCTGGAATTTGCCACTGGCTCTCTGATGTCTCTACAGTATAGTGGTTAAACATGAGATATAATTTGTTTTGTGTAAATCCAACGGGCAATCTTTGGTCTCATTAATCTATTATTTGTTCCAGCTTAAATAGTCACGTTATATTTTATGTAACTTTAATGCTGTAGCGCTGCCTTTGTACTTTTGACTGAATTGCCTAACAATTTTGGTGATGGCTTTTGTTGTTTATTAAATATTATTATTTAATAAATAATATTTTATATAAATAATAGCAGTATTTAATAATAGTATTTAGTATTGGGAAGCAGTGTGTGTGTTTTTGATGGTGATTAGTTACATTGTAAAACTAATGTTTTATTGTGAATATGAGATTGAGCTGTCAGATGCAGGTAATCACATTCGCTCAGTCCATCTCTCTCTCACATAATACTCTACTCTACATAATACAGTGAGCTTTTAATACAGTAAGACAATAAGTTTTAAATGAAGCAACTCAACGTTCCTTTGTTACTAGTTCTAAAGTGACGTTTGGGCTCAGCTGTTAAACTGTCACTGAGATTTGAATCTGTGCTGGAAGTAGTTCTACACAAAAGCGGGTTTTTAAAGACACTCTGTTGTTGTTTCTTATGTATTTACATACTTGTGCTGTCGAGCTGTTGTATAAACGCAATATCACACTCGTAGCCGTGTAATATGGCTATATGTATATCGGTACGCTGTGATTACCTACGGCCAAATCATAGCTGTGCCGATATACAGCCATATCACACTGCTGCTTGTGTGATATTGCTTATATTTATATATATATATATATTTATATACAGTGCATTAGTGTGAGGGTAAGTTCATACGTGAAGCTTCCCTAAGATTCCCTTAAATTAACACTTAGAAAAATATAAAGGCCATCTGAACTGTTTTTAGAGCTTTACAAGCCCAATGACATTTGCAGACTTGTATTGCTGTTAGCCTAGAGTGCACATAAAATCCACATTTGCTTTTTGTCATCATTAGTGTATCCATCGTTGAGTGGTTACCATCCTGCATGCTCACAAGCACTTTAAAACATACTCTTTTCTAGTTGTCATTTTACTGTACAGTCCCCATTTGTCTGTACCTGCTGTTGGGCAGGACTGCATTTAGGAGGCTTAGCATCCTGACAGTGCCTCAGCATGATGCGCTGCTGGATGGTTTGTGATTGTGAAAATCACAGCTCTCCCAGTATGAGACCGTAAAGGTGGCTGCTTCGTTATTCTGTGGGAAAAACTGAAGGTACCTGACACCATGCAAAAGGTGTCAAGCTCAGTCGCCATTAAGGCCTGTTCCTGCTAGCTTGACATTAGCTGTGAGGTGTATGAAAGTTTGCATTCTAACTACAGTATGTTTTCTGTTTGTGTGTGGTTTGTCACAGGAGGAAGGTGGAAATAATGCACACAAACAGTCTCTTCACACTTCTTGGAGAACGACTCATGCTGCACTCCAACACACTGTCGATAACTACGTATAATACACTATATGAGGTAATCTAAAATGGTTATCTCTGTCCTGGATGCTAATTGGTCAGTATAGCCTTACAGTTAAGCTAAAATATACAGCTTGATATAAAAATATACAAAACTAAAATATAAAACTACTAAATATACTGTATAGATATGAAGTAAAACTCTGTTTGGTGCTTAATTTATTTTATATATATATATATATATATA